TTTTACCTTATCGTATTCCACACGTCAAACCCATCCAGTTTGGTACCATTTAAACTCCCTCCAGCAAGCCCCGCAACGAGTGTAGGAAACCAATCGCTGACATGTATGAGTTCTTTGTTGATGGTACCTTGTACTTTGGTTGGTAAGAGAGGACTATGCACAAAGCCTACGCCGTGCATACCGCCTTCCCACAAACTTCCTTTCCACCCACGAAGGGGCCAATTGTTGCCGCCCATATAAATTTGTCCTCCATTATCTGTTATTTTTGAGGAACAAAGGAAGGGAAGCCAGAAAGAAATAAAGTTATCACTTATAAACGAATGCGATCATTGGTGTAGAAACCCTATGTAATTAAACACGTGTCAATACAGATGATGTTTTTTAGAACAAAGCAACATGGAATGGTACTGTTAACTTACAGCAATTAATAGTCTGCACCTTTCAAACCTATTCACACTTCACTGGATATGTCGCCAATTTCTGAAAGCAATGTAGGCCCTATGTATAGATGCCATTGAGGGTCATCTCATCCGTAGTAACACAGAGATATCACAGACAGTTGATCTCCACTGCCAGGCTTTGTTCAACATCTCAAAGACAAGGGACTGAAGATTTCATGCATTTTAATGGAAAGCTAGTTCAGACTCTCTCCAGAACACACATCTTTCAATCTCTAACGATCTAAATGCCGTAATCAAACCCTACGAATATGAAATTAACGGACCTGTTGAGAAGATTAGCACAGTGTCTTTCCAGATTCCCAGCTGGTCCATCGTCTGGGTGATGTTACCAATCCCTTCATCCATACACGCCACCATCCCAGCATAAATCCTTCTATATTTGTTTTGGATGTGCGAATATGGAACCATGTACTGCTCTGGTACCTGCATGGGCTCGTGCACGGCTTGGAACGGCAGATATAAAAATAATGGCTACATAGGGAGGGAAAAAAAGGACAATTTTACACTGGACACAATAGTGTGCGCTGAGTTCTTTAAGCAAACCAAATATTGATAGCACCATTTGTGCTAACTCTCTTGAAACAAGGAAAAGTAGTCTGCCATGATTTTTGGAGTATTTAGTTCATCAGGGATTGGAAAACAAACCATTCACTCCTTTTCTTATTATTATTCCGCGCCCAGTACCTTGTCTGGAGTCTGACTATGCTGTCGAATGATGTCTTGCGCTCGTTGTGTAAACAGCATGGTTGAGTAGTGACCAGTGTAGTTCCACGCAACATCTTCATTTTCTCTGAAGTCAAATCCATGGTCTATAATGTGGGTATAGTAGTCTTCATTTCCCTGCAGGTAGCCTTTCAGGATGTACATGTAGTGTTTGATTCCAAAAGAAACAATAGAGAATGGGTTATCCTGTTGATAGACATTTTCAGAAAGTGGCTAAAGTTTCTTCGCTTCGAAAACCTGCAAATACGAAAGACTCTTGCACTTTTGTCGCTATTAACAATGGGTCACGAGGCTGCATTTATACTTCTGAAAATTGACCTGTCACATGACAAAGACTACTGGGTATATGTAAAATAATTCCAACCACAGTAACTTCTGTAGACTTATTATGAACATCAACAAACGCAAAATAAAGTACAATAATAAGCACGGCCAGCTTTTCATGAATTTTCTTGTAACACAATAACTGGGAAAGAAGGTAATTTGTCACAGCTTTTGAAATGCAAACCGAGCCCTACCAAAGTAACTATCAAATCCACGACGAGTCGGCCAGCAAGCTCTCTTATAAATCCCAAGATGCCATTTGCCCACAATATGGGTGGCATATCCTAACTCCTTCAGTTTCTGGGCCAAAGTGACGTCATTAAGGGGTAAGCAGTCGGGTTGCGCGTACCCAATAATCCCATGTTGTAGCCCGGTGTGGATCTAGGGAACAAGACAGACAGGCGGATAATTAGACAAAAAATGATAATTAAATTATAATTAAACGAAACAGTTTTTCTATCACAATTTATGAATATTTTAGGGATTTCACATTTTGATGATTTTTAAATGTTGTTTATGTATTACTTGCTTTGTCATGCCTGTGCAATTCATCCTTTGGGCTATGATAAAGGCAAAGTGAAATAAATCATAACAATAATAATAATAAAACAATTAAACAAAAAACAGCAAGCAAGACAAAGAGTCAGCGTAAGATCAAAAACTGGACATTTCTGAAGGCGATACACTCTTTCAAAGCTCTGACACTGGTTTCGTTCATCTTAAGTTACCGTCACAGGTACATCATCTTTTTGCATCCATGTTCAACAGAAATAGAAAGGAAGTAGGCCGAATGGGCACATCAGAGAACAAACCAAACATTTAAATTTATTATTTTGACGCAAACCAGTGGCGTAAATTTGTGCCGAAATCTGGGGGGGGGGTAGAAATTTGAAAAGGGTAGGGGAGCGACACCATGACACTGAGGGACGATGTTCATGATACTCTCATACAGGGGTATACTATACACTCGTACAGAACCCTTACATCAAAACGGCGTTATGTGGTTTTAAAAGTTGTTCTCCATTTTTGAGTGCAGTTTGGAAGTCCATTTTTTTTTCAAATCCGCTTTAATTTTTCTCACAACGAAAAGTTGGAAGGAGGGTTCAATGGACTATTCCCTGGTATGATAACCATTTAAATTTAAACTAATTAATTTAAACTTCCACATACAGAGATAGGGTTTTGTTCGTTTTTGTTTGTTTGTTGTAATTCATATAATGTATAAGAACTAATAACTTTTATGTAGACATGCAACTCCGTATTTATTGTAATTTTAACAAAATGTTTTAATGGTTGTATCTATCTTTAAATGTAAAAACTTTTGTAATGTAACTTTTGAAAGTTTATAAATAAACCATTTTAAATTAAATTTGAAAACAATGACGCAAACCCTGTCAACAGTTGAAGTAGTCCTCGATAGGTGTTAATTTATTAAGTTTAAGTTTAAACCTACCTGGTATTTTCCACTCATTAACTGGCTTCTTGTTGGTGTGCAGATGGGCTGAACGTAATAATTCTCTAGTTTCACACCCTCAGCTGCCAACCTGTCCAGGTTGGGCGTTTTGATCTCGGAACCATGGTAACCAATGTCATGGAAACCGTAATCGTCAGCCAAGATGAAGATTATGTTGGGTGGTTTTCCGTTGACAGGATTTACGATGATCACAAGGAAAAGTCCAAGCAAACAGAAAATGAGGGAAGGACGCTTAGCTTTAGGTTGTCTGATAGGAAACATACCTGCAAAGTTTGGCGCACAAAAAATCGGTCATTTAGGATTTAGAAAAAAAGAAATGCTAGACTGATGGAGTGAACCATCGATTTAAATGAGGAAAGTGGGTACGTTTCGTGTTAAAGCTATAGTGTACATGGCCTGCTGACATTTGAACTTTTTCGGATCCTTTTAGGGAGCAGGGTCATGAAGTAACGGGAATGAATATAATCTTTTTGCACAAGTTCCGATAATCACAAATATATTGGTTCAAGCTTATCCATACATGTAATACGCTACGTTGCGTATAAGGAGCACAGGCGCACGCCTAAAACTATGAAAAAGGGGTTTGTCATCTGTCTCTCAACAGAATGCCTGCATTTGATATCCTTGTTGACTCAACTTTGACAAAATCTGAAAAAAAACCTTGCAAATTATGCTCCATACGCCAGAGGAAAATAGAACGAGGGGACGGGGTTTTTATTTACAGACACCGAACATCAATGAGGTTTATATGGAAGCGTATAAGGGCCACTTGCCACAATATTTTTTGGAACTATCATCTCGCCGCACCGAGTTAAACAGTTGAATACGTTTCTCGCCGCGGCAAGTTGTAAGATTTTGCTTCATTAGCGTCAAATTGATATCCCGCCGCAGCGAATATTTCAAAAGTTTCGTGAGTCCTATTCGGCGCGCCGTTTTCAAATGCATTGCGATTTGGTTCTAGATTATTAATTGAAACAAAAATGAAAGTTACATTTCAATAAAGCTTGTTTTCCAACACAAAGACAATGAAATCTTATTTTGTGGTGTGAATTTCCACATTCAGATGAGGGGCAAACTGTTTTTCATTCCTTCCTACGTTTTCCAAGTGCTAAACAGAAGCAAGCAGACTTGAAAGTTACATTTGAACTTTCATCAGTCGAAATTTATTAATTTATAGCACTTAAAATGGAGATCAAAAACAGTACTTTTACAAACGCAACGCATGAAATACCTCACAGCTTTAGATGTTCAAAGCATTTTAGGTTACTTGATGCCATAATTTCCAAATATAGTATAAGTGCACACATGTCATGTGTACCAGGTCGGAAGTGTCAATCCGTGTTTAGATGTTAAAATAAACTCCATCCAATAAGTGCTCGACAAAAATTATGTTCTGTATTTGCCCTAGGCCTTGGTCTGTGACAAGTGAACGCATGGACGTGAAGTCAAAGAGCCAGGGGACTCCAATCCAGTTGATGAAAAAAGTGTGTGTCAGTTTCCCTTTCGCTTTCACTTCAGTTTTATTTTTGCCTGTTAAAATCTCCTAAATCATAGCAAATTTTAATGTTGAACTGATATCAACATCGAGGTTTTGTCCGAAGTGGCAACACACATTGGCTAAAAATATGCATGGGCGTGGCCAGAATTGTTTTCGGCGGCGGGGGGGGGCTGTCTAGTTAAAAAAAATAACATTTAACTGCAGGAAGGGGGTCAATTAAATTATTATCTATTTCATTTCTAATTTTAATTTCTTTGGCTTTTTTCCTTTTCTTTCCTTTTTTTTTGGGGGGGGGGGTTCTTTTCAGGGTCCCCCTCGCAGCGCTTATGTAAATAGGATTAGGCCTATTTGTATAAGCGCAAATGAAAAGGCATCGTTATCTTTTCAACAGGCAGTCTACCAGGGAGTAGTCTACCCCACTTCCGAAAATGGAAATTCATACCCCGAACGGGATATTTGTTTTGGTTTTCTTTTGTGTTCGAAATCAAGCTTGGTTGAATCAACTTTATTTAAAGCAATTTGAAATACAATTTTATTGCATTACACCCTGATACATCTGAGTACGACGACACACTAAATTAAGATTTGTGAAACTACTGAAGTACTTTGAGAGGCAGGATTTCAATTTCACGCCGCGACAAGATCGTATAACTCGCCACGGCAAGATACACATTCAACGATTTAACTCGCCGCGGCGAGATAGTAGGCTCGCCGCGGCGAGATAGTAGCTCGGGAAAAAAAATGCAAGTGGCCCTTATATACGCTTCTGTAGGTTTCCGCACGGGTGTGAGAAAAAAAAATTCTAGACAAGATTGAGCAAACTCGTCGTTGTCCAAGTTGCGATAATATATGTGTCTCTAAACTGTAATGTGAGCAGTGTATCAACACTGAAATCATTGCACTACTTTCATTGAAAAGGTGTCACGTGATTCACCTGAAAATGAAAGCAAAACAAGTTTCATGACAATAAATTCAATTTTCTTTGAACCACAGCTCAAACGCTTAAATAACAAAAAGTTTGTGAAGAGAAAAAGTAAAATTAAACAACACAAGTTCCTCGATGTATATACGCTGCAACCTTTAACAGTTTAAGACTGAAAACAAAACATATTTCAGGAATAACGTATTCATCAAAGGATCTCTACATTTTCATACAATTTAATGGAGGCTTGTGCAATACACGTTTTTTAAAATAAAATAAAATTCAAGCACACCACCTTTCAAACTTATAAATACAGCCATATTGACAGGCTTGTCATCTGATACACGTATATATTATGATGGAGCTTTAGTCTTGACTGCAATCAAATAGAAAAGGTCGAGTGTTCTCGAGGTCAAAATAATGAGACCATATTCCCACCGATATGACAATATCAGTCGGTTATATTATGGCACTCAGAAGTGATCTTTGATCGATATGAACAAAACTAAATCATCATATTGTTAAGGCCTGTCGGTAAACGATCGACCCACCATCTTGATGAGGAAACAAAATCTGGTTGCGAATATAATATAAGATGTACAACTCCTTTGCCATGTTTTCCGCCGTGTTTTCGTTGAGTGTATTTCCATGTAACCAACCAGAACGTTCCTGAGAAGCATCCTCGGGTTTGTCTTAATGACTTTTAACGGCTAATGAATTAGCAAGCAGAATTCAGAAAGGCAGTTGCATGGTCTTTTAACGGACAGAGGTTTCATTTTCACCTGTTAGATACAAGCCTGATTTATGTTAACCTTTCAGCGTGTCAAACCTATATTTCTGACGAATAAATATTTATTAAAAACTGAGTGTCGAATGCTGTCATTTAATAGGAGCCCAAGGGGGGGGGGTGCTGGAGACAATCCCCCACCCGTCCCAGACATGTTGCCATCATGCTTTCCTCATAAAACGTGGAGTCATACAACTCGATTTATTTTATCCTTCTTAATCCAAATCCAGTGCATTTATCCTAAAGGCTACAAAGTAACATTCAAACAAGTTATTGCCATTTTTATGCATTGAAAGCGTCACTATCCCTGGTAAGCATAACAAACTCCCTAATAGTAATACGCAGTTGAAAGTCGTTGACTCCCATCACACGGGACATAGGGCCTGAGACCTTTGATATGCTAATGTTACGAGGTTTGTTACGTAATCCTAAATATTCACCTTTTGTGACGTTTATAAATATGTTAGCGACACAACATATCTTTCACAATTATTATTCCATTGTTCTGAGTTATGCCCTGACATTATGTCACCAAAATTTGCCATCACTGGCGGTATAGGTTAGTCACGTGCAACTAAAAACACTCATCTGGGACTATAACGACCGTGTTTGTGTTTCCCATATTTACACAATTAATGATGTTCACACAGCTTCCCCAAGTTCCCCATTTTTTTGCTTCAACAGCTGCAAAAAGGATTGAAAACCACATGTAGACTGCATTTGTACAATGCTTGCCACACTTTCTGTTCACAACAATCGTGAGTAGGAAATAAGCCTTCTATTTAGAAACTCAGTGGAACGACCGTGCTGGTACACATTCTGCAGCTCGCTGTTTGTGACCTATAACCCACGTGCATAAAACGTACACGTACATGTATAATGATCACAACACAATTGCATGGAGGCACCATTTTGTCTGCATTTACACCGTGTCCTTTGTGCAGCGGTGAATTGCAGAAAGCTTACCCATTTGATGATCATCTGCCGCCGTTGAAGCAGGTCGTGTTTGCTCTTTCAGAATTCACTGTTCCTTGCTGCTTAGACTACTCTGTCTTTTCTCGATAGTATCCAGCTATGCCTACCGTTTAACTTACTGCGAATGAACCATCTCAATGACTGTGTGTACACAATACAGAATCGTCATGTGATGAATTGTAGAGGTTATAGTGCAAATGCTGTTGACGTGGATCTTGCACCCGGTCTAATTTGATTTATCCAAGGAGGTAAGTTTGTTTGCAATGCAGGTCCTAAATCTCACCGCCACAGGTCAGCCTTGTATATACATGCACCGGAAATAGGCCTACTCGTATCACGCTACATGTATAGTGTGTATATCCTTTTAAAATTCTATTATTCTCATGTCATGTATGTTTTTTTTTTCGATTGAAGGAGGGTCAGTCGGTCGGAAAAAAAATTCCTAAAGAAATTCCATGTTTCTGCCATACAGATGATTGAATAAACCAGGCAAAGTGACGTAGGGCTTATGTATACCAGTCACTTGTTTTTATATTGAGTATCACGAGTCTTTGTTTCTAGCTTAGTAGGCCTATAGTGTAGGCCTCCAGGCTATACGTATAATGTGGCGCTCCATGATACATAATACTCTTCTAACTCGAAGGCCTTTAATGTTATGTGTACGATATAAAGTACCGCTCCGTCTGGTTGTGATGCCTTACCGCGAATTTCAACTGTCGCTGTGTTATGTTTGGGCTAAAGCGAATTGCATACGCACATTTTTACGCAGTTTTGTACTGGTCATCACACCCTAAGACAAGGTTCTCGTATCTTAGCTATAGCAGGGTTGGTAGGAAAAAAGGCTTTCTTTCGAGGTCGGCACCCAAAAATAGGGTCGGCGAAAATGAGAACCATAGAATTTAAAAAGGGTGCATGCCGTATGGGAAGCGAACTGCAACGAATTTATAAAATGTCGCCATCCGAGGCCTGTTTTAACTCGTTTTCTGCATGCCGGACAGTACCGGGTAGGCCCATACTGAGGCCGTTTTCCAGTACACGACATCATCTCCGTCTCGTGCTTTTGTCTCGCAAATCAATCCCCGATTGTAGGCCTGAAGCGTTAAAGTATTTTATCGTGTATCAAGTCAAATCTACGGCTACAATCGATTACTCTTTTGGGTTGATGAGGTTTATTTAAATTCTTATTAGAAATTGAAGCCTGACAGGGTTCCTAGTTGACCTGCCGACATAGTGCATGTTTATAGATTAACTAGTATTTCCATCAAACTATTGGAATTATGTTAATCTGCAGCTTTTATATAAACACTTGCAGGTTCAACAATCGCTGAGATAATGTACAGACGACTGAAATCCTATGCTCCATGTTTTTCGTGCATCCTGTGTCTATTGATATTACTCCTTATGATCAGCACGAATCATCGTATAGCCTGCAAAAAGCCTAACATCATCTTCATCTTGGCTGACGATTATGGTTTCCATGACATCGGTTACCATGGTTCCGAGATCAAAACGCCCAACCTGGACAGGTTGGCTGCTGAGGGTGTGAAACTAGAGAATTATTACGTTCAGCCCATCTGCACACCAACAAGAAGCCAGCTAATGAGTGGAAAATACCAGGTAGGTTTCAGACGGCAAATAACAGAAGAAAGAAACATAAACCCTTTTTTGGCGTTGGCGTTAAGTTAGCGTAAATGTAGTATTAGATGATGTGCCGTAAATATGAAACGTTCATAAGAAATTCCTTAAGACATATGCATTTATCTTATATCATTTAAAATCGATGCTCCTGAATTCATGACCATTTAATGTTCCCATGCCCCTGAATTAGATCCACACTGGTTTGCAGCATGGAGTCATCACGCCAGAAATGCCCAGCTGCCTTCCCCTCGACGACGTTACATTAGCTGAGAAGTTAAAGGAGTTGGAATACGCGACTCATGTGGTTGGCAAGTGGCATTTGGGAATGTACAAGAAAGCTTGTTGGCCGACTCGTCGTGGATTCGACTCTTATTTCGGTAGGCCCAAATACCCTAGAGGGCAAATGTAGAATCAAAATGTGAAGCTCCGTAGTCTTTTTATGAGGTTTATGCAAATGAATGTCTCTCTTTCATTTTGATTAAAAATAAATTACCGGTTGCATTGCATCTCGGTTTCGTAGGACCAAATTGTGTCCGGTGAGACAGCTGCGGCCATAGGCTATCTGTAGCTAAATCAATGGAACTTAAGGTCATTCATAATCGGCGCGAAAAGCGAACGTGAACGCAAATTTGTGGCGTCAGATATTCGCGTTACGAAATCTTCTGTTTCTTAAAAACCTGTATGCTGTCCATTTCATATAGACTACGTGCACATGAGTTTAAGCAAACTTTGTAGAACTATATCTGGGTCAATTTTGAAACTACCAATTGTGACATTATAACTTACTTTTTTTTAGGATATTTGCTCGGTAAGGAGGAATATTTTACCCATAAACGAAATGGTTCACTGGATTTTAGAGACCAAGAGAATCCTGTTTGGAACTACAACGGTATTTATTCGACTCATCTATTTACTCAACGGGCTCAGGACATTTTACGTCAACACAGTCAGAACTCTAATCAGGTAACCATGGCTGGATCGTCAGCATCTGACACTCAACGATTACATATTTTATTTTTCTCTAGAAAAGCGGAGCCGAAAGGTTTCATTTACATTTTGAAAATCGAAGTAGGGTTGATGAACGTAATGTTGTTAATGTTTGATGGATTTCTTGGCTAAGTTAGCTGAATTTAGGGGCAGTGCTCGTGGCCTTAATTTCTATAAGAAGGGCCGAACGAGTCGCGTTGCCCGTAGGAGGAACTGATATGCCCGACTATTGTATGAAGCCACTTCCGTGTTGTTATGTTGAAAGCGGCACATCGAATATCGTACCTTGTTTTTAATTAATTTAAAACTTGGACTAATATTTACCGAAGTTGAGCATCATTTTATGGGGAATAATCCTCATATTTTTTTTATCTTATTGGCTAAATTTTATAAAGGGATAATTGAAATAATTACACAGAAGATTCAAAACTGATAATCTTATATTTTTATATAAGTGATTTCATATTAAAAACAAACAAAACCACAGATGAAACAAGACAAAGGAAAACCAAATCCCTTTTCCATGAGTTCTTTCCGACTAAAACCCACAGTCTGTTAGTCTAAATCTCTAATAGTTTGTAAAGCTAACCCATCACAGCCTGCGATTTCTTTATATAGCCGTTCTTCCTGTATCTGCCGTTCCAAGCTGTTCACTCACCCTTGGAAGTACCAGAGCAGTACATGATTCCATATTGGCACATCCAAGACAAATTTAGGAGGATTTATGCTGGGATGGTGGCGTGTATGGATGAAGGGATTGGTAACATCACCCAGACGATGGACCAATTAGGACTCTGGAAAGACACAGTGCTCATCTTTTCAACAGGTATATAAACACATTTCTTGCCTGATTTTATTAATTACTGGAATGAGATTGATATTATATAGGACTGAAGACTGTCACTGAATGGCACTGAAAACGCAGAGCAAACTTCCTCTGCATTTATTTCACGTGCATCCAATTTGTCTCGCAAAATTAGCGGAATACGTTTGCATACGTTATATTTTAAAAATTCGGTGCTGTCAACGAGTTAAGACTCAACAGCATTCAACAAAAACTTTTGATGATGATTACATGCATGGATTGCTGCATTTTCATTACAAAGTTGTTTATGCGTCAATGAGTTCAATCTGTTTAATCGTTTATGGAGGAGTTTTTCTTTTTTACATCTCTTCCTTTGTTTTTCCAAAATAAATAACAGATAATGGAGGACAAATTTACTTGGGCGGCAACAATTGGCCCCTTCGTGGGTGGAAAGAAAGTCTGTGGGAAGGCGGTG